GTGATAACATTAAAAAGAATAACATTAGTCTTCGACTAATATTAGACGATCTAAGACCCACCACAAATTGCTTCAAGATTCTATCAGAGATCAGTGGAACATCCATTTAAATTACCCAACAATAGATAGGAATATCGTTCGAAATCATCTATGGGGAGATGTGCTAATAAAGAGGATTACACAGACGATTATTTAGCAGCCACGTTTGAACGCAACTGTATGCAAACGACTTGAAGATCCTGCGAGGTGAACGAAAGTCTGGTTATCCTATCTCTGAATAGAAGTAGTCACGAAGCCGCTTATGGACTTTGTATATTCGTGTGAATGCTCTTGCATCTCCGGTTGTTGCATCTTGTAGGTAAACATGTTTAACGCCCACTCGAGAATCCCTCAGTGATTCTCAAACGTGTTAATACAAGGTACAGTTTTATTATTTGAATTAGACCCGCGATAAGAACGGATGTCTTTATCTGACGTTGCAACATTGAAAAGATAGTGATTAGTTTATTTTGAGACAGAAGGACAGGAGCGCAAATTACTTCCTACTGCGATCAGGGAACGTTAATTAAACCTTCAGCTGCGATGACAGTTGAACAGAGATTGCTAAAAACAGATAAACAATTTATCTGTTACTCATTTTATTTCTAATTCTAATCAAGCGAGAAGCGAATCACTCTCGTTTAATACCGTTCGCTAGTTAACGTCTAATCCAACAAAATTCTCGTTTACGAGCGATTAATATTGCATCCACGCGCACAGCCCACGTCTATTAGATTTGCGAATCTTCTCCACCCACGCTTGGCATTGTATCGTAATACGACGATTCATAGACCTCGCCAGTTGCACGCGACTGATTCTCGTGATTCATCGATATATATCTAATTGTAAGCACCTTCCACTCGTTTCTTAACCCCTTCAATGGTACAGATCCGTTCAATTTTTCGGGCCGTTTCGTTTATTCGTTGAATTTTTATTTTTTAAAAAATTTAGTAATTAGAGGGATCGAATGTGACACTGAACAGAATCGTTTTTACCGAAATTGCCAAGTTTCAACTTGTAAATTCCATTAACATCAAGGTCCCGGAATGCCCGTCGGGACACGTGTCCAATCAACGCGAATTCGCAGCTAACTAGTGAATTTATATGAACGAGTAGCGACGCAATTTACTATTTAACGATCTGCCGTAATTGTGCAATTGCACACTGTCCATACAATCGTCAATAGAACAGAATATTCTGTGAAATAATTTTCAATTATATTTTTATCGTTCACCGATTACACAAAATAATTATTAAACAATTTTACCTTAACAATACCACTTTTGGCGTGACCAAATAAAATCTAAATCTTTTGAAACACCACTATACATTCCATTATCTAATCATCTATCAAATGTGAAGGTTTCCAACAAAGATGGAAATCGACCAATGGATATCCGTATAAAAATCTGGAAAATGGTTTCTCACATTTTAACTGATGATTGTGTCACATATTTCCGAGGACGATGTTATCACTAGCTCGCTCTCGAGTTCTGAAACTACGCTCCATACCGTTGTTAACATCGCGTTAGTAATTTCCAATCTAGGTCAGCAATCACGTCACCAAAGGTTATTGTAAAACGTCAAATTTTTATTATTCGCAAAACGATCTTAAAATGAAAATTCTATGAAACTCCTAACTGACACGTTGCTTTCTTCTATGATAATAATTAATTTAAAAAAATAATTACTGATTTATGGGTTAATTTTAGTGTATAAGTCGACAAGCTGCAGCGTACGTTCGCGGACAGCCCAGTTTCGAGAACCTTTCAAACAATCACGATCGCTTGGAGAAAGTTACGGGACAACCCTGTTCGTTAATTAATAGGTTCGACGACGAGTTGACGTTAGGAATAATTGACATGGAATCGAGAGTCGACACACCTCCTTTTCGCACGATCGATTGCCGTTTCATTAGAAGTGTAAGCTAGATAAGCGCGAGAAACTGGAAAGTTGGAAACAACCTGTGAATTAACCCTTTGCACTCGTGTGTCTGTTCTCCATTGCCAAACGATAAATAAACAATTTTATATTCTAACAAAAATAAGCCAAAAACTTTTATATACTTGAAAATAGGAAAAAATAGTTAAAAATTTGAAGAATGAAAATAAAAAATATCTTGTACAATTATTTTGAATGCATTCGTGTATTTGAAATACCTCATCGAGAACATGATCCATGATATTCTAGTATTGTTTCTGTTTTATTGATTGTTTAAATGAATCGTAAACCTTTACATACATCGTTGTTCGATAGTTGTGAGAATCGAGAAGAGAATGCACGAACGCGTTGCCTGAATGAGACACTTTCAACGAGCTGTTTTAATCAGACACGCTCATTATCTCACGGCGACGGTAAACTTTATACAAGGCTGATCAAATATCGTGCCAGTAAATCTGTACTTTACCTATTTACAAACGATATCGATCGTGAAAAAAGACCGTGTCTTCGATTCGCAACAGGTCGCCTTTTCTAGCATGTTATTTTGAAAGTTCTACTCAACAGACACACCTATGAATATATGATATGTTAAACGAACAATAGAATTTTCTATTTATTAACCCTTGAACAGCGGAATCTGGGTCGATCGTGACCCGAACTTGCAAAACATATAACAAGGATATGTATTAACCTAAAGTTAAGTGTGTAATTTTTAAATGAAAGGGTTTCATATATTGGAAGAATAATTTTAAAAGAACAGCGTAAAATTCAGAAAATATAAATTTAAATTTAAATTGTGGCTCTCTTCGTGGTCCGCCGTTCCAGGGTTAATCATAGAAGAGAAGATTTTTCATTTTCAGGGCAACGTAATAATTTTGATAAAAGATATTAAAAAATTTTGACGAAAGACTAGAATACAGAAGGGAAAAGACATCAAAACTTTCCATTTCTTTTAAATAATTCCGATGGAAAAAATAATTAAATTTCCCTTCAAAATGTTTGAAAAAAATTACTTTTTACGTTAGAGAAGAAAGTGCGATTTTATGTATTCAATTTCATAAAATTTTATAAAATCATACGTATGATTTATCAATAAACAGCGCCGACAAAGAGAAAAATTTGATAAAAATTCAAAAGTAAAAAATTGATCCAATATGTGTCGGTATATTGGCACAAATGAATACTTTTCTTGTGAATCGTGTAGCTTTGCAAATTGAGCAGCGGATCACCCAGGATCCTGTTACTGGTGCATCGTGATCATGGTCACCATACTCTATACCACAATCCCACGGGCGAAATTGACCGTGAACTTTTCTGACCTAGTTGCTTACATAATTGATTCGTCTTCGTTAGCGAGGCTCTCGTTGCACCGGACCGATGCAACGAAATTACGTGACCGCCATAAACGCACCAGCCACGATCTACGACAGATTACGCGCACAGATTTTAAAATTTCACGGCCCCTTCGGGTTCACCGTACGATCGCCCTTTCGTTTCTACTTCCTTGACTGTATAACACGAACGGGGTAATCGAGAAAACTTTTCACGTCCCGAGCAACATTTCCCAGAGGAGATTCTTTTTTTTCCAAGGTTTGTCCGTTTTTCTTCTTGGAAGGGGTAGATAATTCGTATTCAAAGTACATCTGTTTTTTTTCTTAAAGTTGGATCAAGTTGTTAGTTTAATTAGCTCGAAAAGTGAGATAGGGGAAGAGATTTGATTTTTATTTAAAGTTACTTTAAATGTGTGGAATTTTGTCGAATATTAAAATGATTAGAAAAACTAATCTGAGATGTATCGAAATTAAAATTAGTGATATGTATAGATAATCATTTGAATGATATTATATTAGAACATTTAATTAATTATTCCAAATACCACTGAAATAATACCAATCCCCTCTGAATAACACCTGTTCAATCAAAATGCATTGTCTGCATTTCAAACGTGTTGCATCAATCAATTTCCCATGAACGTGCTACCGAAGCATCTCTTTTGATATACATACATAAAAGTATTCCTCCAGGCAACGGAGCTCATCGCGAAAATAAAAAAGGAACGATCAATTAATCGAGTAGCGTGTTTCCATTTGTATTCAATTTCGTCCCATGAATACTACACGGTCGCGAGAACACGTCGCTGTCGTTCAATAATAAGCGTTTCGATGCATTCATGAACGGCTATGTGTCGATCGTACACCGAGGTATTATTAAAAGGTCCTTCCTGCTTGATGTAACATAACGTGCATGGTAATCGAATGGTCTTGTATCGATGTTTCACTGCGTAGGTAGAAACACATTGTACACGTATGGCCAGAGAAAGATAGAGGTTCTCAAATGTAAAAGATGCAGGTTTTTCAATAATATTAATACATATGCAATGGAAATATTCATGTGTAGTCGGACACACTGTAACTTCAATTATTTAAAATACAATCCTTTCATTTTTCAATTTAACATTTTGATGACCACCTATTCGTGATTATAATTTTTTATTTTTCATGTCATTATTACTTTCTTTAGGTATTAATTAAAATTTAAAAATTGATAATTTTACGGTTGAATACCGCAGAGGGTGGGGGCACCGATGACCGACACCGCAAATTAGATATACTTGAATAATTAAAAGAAAAAATAGAAAAATTTTATTTTCAATAGCAATATTATTATACTAATAATTTAAGCTTGGAACTTGAAATTTTCAAATTAACTATGTTCTTATTTTTAATGATTACTGCAATAGTTAATATGCGGGTACCCGAAATTACAAGAACCCTTATTTAATAATCTTTTGCTAAATATAACGAAAACATGAAATATGCAACTCATCAAAGTGTTAACCTTTTCATCTGTTACTTTGTGTAATTAATGCTAATTACTCCAGCAGACTTAAATCATCAGTTTATTAGATACTGATTGATTGTATTTTAATGACTGATTTATTCGCTTCGTATTTAACGTTCGAAGACGATTGCTACCTACGATCTAATGTCACTAAAGTTTCAACTTTCAAGTTAACTCACCCTCCCGGTCTCTTGGTAGAGAGATGCACGCTCTTTGGATCGCCTACTCACCTGAAACAATCGACACGAAATCATTAGCTGAGATTGATCAACAGCTATTGCCAGTGCAATAATTACGTAACGGTATAAATAATCGTGTAAAAAGGTATACTCTGTTTCCGTCGTGTCACGAAACACAGGTATAATGAATCATAGATAAAACTGCAATACTCCTGTAATCAAGCGTTGTAAATAACTAATAAGAACAGTGAAAATGTTTATGCAAATATATACATTAGTAAAATATTTTTCCCTTTAGAGTGTTCAAAATTCATCATTTTTGAATATTTTGCATAAACATTAGCTGTTTAATGATAAATCATGCAAACCATGCGCTAATAAGATTAAAAAATGTTTTACGAATACCTTTTCATTCAAGTATTCAATCGCAACAAGTTAATTTAAAAATTATCCAAACGATTACATTAAAATACCTAGGAGACGAAAAAAAAATACAATTTTAGCGTTCGTTTTTCATGAAAAGGGAACAAAGAATTCCCTAGGCTTCCGTATCCCCCGTTTCGTTGCGCTGGAAAGGTAGGAAGCGTAACGAGAACATTTAATATTCGTTCCGGGAACAAAATTTTCCCTCCCGGCATATTTTGCTGGCCACGTTCCAGCCGGATAATTTTCATAGAGCAAATCACGGCGCAACGACTGACAAATTGCATCGACGTGTCACTGCACTCCACGGCACATGCTGATAAAGTTCATTGGGTCTTTGTCATTTCCCGTCGCTCTTTATGCCACCGCTACACAGAATAATAGCCGGCTCGATCAAACTTCTGCCGGCGAAACAAATTGACAGAGAATGCGCGAACGGAACGACAAACTCCAATAACGAGCAACAAACATTTAATAACATCTAATGACTGGCAAATGTGTTTTAATATTATAATCAGAAGATAACGTGAAAATGCAGGAAATTAACGCTTCGGGTGCTAAAAATATTATTTTAAAGCACAAGTACGTGTATTGCAAAAATATTTAATTAAATTGCGAATTAGGGGCGTACAAGTACCCGATAATTCGGGTCGGATCGGTCGGAACTCTAAAAATTTGACTGGTACGTTTTGTTCGAGTACCTGTAATTTCAAGATCCAAATACCAACTCGGGACTCTAAGTCAATTCCAAATTCAAAACTACCCAGATTAGGAGTACTTAAATAAATTTATGTACTGAATAAACTTTTGGGATTTTGTCGAAGTCGAAAGAAATTTCTGATCTGAGCCCAACCCGAATTTTTTGATACTCGCACATCCTTAGTTTAATAAAATTTGATGACATAAAACTACCGCAAAATAGCCTAAGTGCTACATCAATTTGAAGTTTAAAGTTTGACGAAAATGACTACATAAACGTTCCATCAATATTTTATACACAAATTAATTAATTCTTCATTGGAAGGTACACATTACTCTACTGAACTTATCTACTAATTAATCTGACCCTTTACCATAAAAAGACACCAATAATGAACAATGTCTATTCTATCCTCGTTCGAACAGCAAGGCTCGTTTAATCTCATCATCCCAATATTAGAAGAGAAAGTGAGGATCCAGACCGATAATTAACCGGGCAGCGATTCACGATGGTAAATATTTTCCATGCGGAAAGTGTATCGGTACTGTTATACAAAAGGGGGCAATACCGGGGAGATCCCGATAATGGTGAACGAGCAAGACGCGAAATTTTTTCGCTTCCGTATCGCGATACTCGTTTCCTGAGTCACGCTGGACCCCGGTCGATTCAGAGAAATCCAATTATCATTGGCAAATGAAGGGGTCTGAACGGTGGCGGTGGGTGCGATAAGTGGCGTGATAATGGGGCTGAAGAACGCGTACTCTCGCGCTCAACCATTCGCATAATGCCATTCTTTCATGAGGATATCGCTATTCCGGATGCTCCATTATCGTTCGTTGCTTCTTACGCGGCTAATTATCGATAGCGTTCGCTTGTCCTTAAGAAAATTCGACCTATCCCACCCCTACTCCCTTAGTTTAGCCGATAAAACAGTGACAAAAGAGCAAGAAAACTGGCCTTAATATCTCGACACGGTTCGGGGTAGCCTTGAGATTTTTTCGTGGTATCGATACTGATTGGTTGTTTCCGAGAAATTTCATGAAATCGTTAATTATTCTGCGAAAAAATGATTTAATTGACTTGGAAGCGAACGACGCAGCAGGTGCGTCTTGGAAAGGAATCTATATTATTAACACTAGATTGCCGGACAAATAGATCCGTCAAGTTAGATATAGCACATATGGATTTTTGGAACTAAGGAATGGAAGGGAAAGGAATTAGTATTTTTCTATATATATAGCAATAAAATCGTAAATGAGTCAAATTGACTCGCTCCGGCAATCAAGTGTTATCTTTCCATACTATTATTATTTTCTTACCTTTGTCTACTCTATCAGATACTATTTAAAATTAAAAAATTAATAATCTTCTGTCAGATATAACAAAGAAAAATAAAGCTATGCATCAAACTCTGCCATAGTCAAAGGGTTAACTGGATAAAGTGGGGATGAAATAAAATGTCGCATTTAAAATTCAATTTATACGCTACTCTATTTTCGCTAAAGTGAATACGAGCAAATTAGCATGCGTTGCGTGAACGAAGAAAAGATACAGGGACACCATGAAGGATAGAAAGAAACGAATTACAGGTGAAACTCGTTAAGCTAAGTTCTACAGCTGAAGCCTCACCGTGGAAAACTTGACGGTTAAGAAGTCGTAGTATTTCACCAGGAACTTCATTATGGGGCCGATGTGGATTGGCTTCGTTTAAACAGCATGCGTTTCCTACTTGTCGTCAGTAGCGGTTTTTGTATCTTGCGCGCAAACAGCCGACTAATTAACACTTTATTCGTCGGACAATTTGTTTGCCTAACCGCACAACATCGTGAACGGTTACGACTAACTCTTGAGAAATGTACTCCGTTCACTTTGTTCCTTACATTATTTACTAATCTTTGTTTCACTTGTAAAATGTCGCGTTACATAAACACTTGGTTTTGTAGATAATTACAATTAAAATGAAGTATTAACCCTTGCAGAAGACTCACTTTTCAGTAGACACAGGATAGTTTTTCTGTCCACAGGGGTGATTATAATTATTTATCATTAAATAATCACTGATTCTAGTTTATATTTTTGACTTATTTAGTCAATAGTTTATCACTTCTACTACATATTGCAGGCCTGGGTCAATCGAGACCCAAACAAAAATGTGAATCTAAAGTTAAATGTATCGTTTTCAAATAAAAGAGATTCGTATATTAGAAGGAACAGGAAAATTAAATTAAACTTGGGGCTCTCTCCATGGTCCGCCGTTCGAGGGTTAAATGAATCAAATTGAAGGGTTAAGTGCGGTTCTCAAATGGGACAAGTTTTTTTATTGATTCCTCGAAGACACGAGAGAAAACAGATAAACTTGTCGTCGTTCAACTACTCAAATCACGTCGACTAAGGACAGTGATCGATTTATTATCGCACGATTCGTCGTATCATCGATAATCGTTCGACGAACAGACTTCGCGTGTGGCCGGTTCGTGTTCTCTGTTTACCTTTCGTGTTTGCAGTAATCATCGATCGTCATTGAAACCGCGATATAATACAAACGAAGCAGAGCGTTGTGTAAAAGCTACAAAATAATTGAGTTCGACAGTTATTTCACGCGGCAAAGTGAATGAACTTTAAAATCAATTAAATAAGCTTGCAACCGTTTCTAATGACACTCGAGCCGTTGTCTGGAGGAATGCGGCGGTTGATTTACAAGCGAAAAACATGTGTCCGTCGCATCAAAACGCGCATTAATGCCGAGAAAATAATTAAAACGAACGGTCGATTAATCATCGGCTTCGTGACGCAGACTGATTACAGCCGAGCGTAACGAACGAACGCTTGTAAAATCAAAACGATTAATAATTTACTACATTCATCGAATCGAAGATAATCGTTTCTCTCCTCGTTTCTCGAGTCACACGTGCAGATACAAAGATCACTGTCCTTTCGCTTTCTTCGATCATCCGCTCGTGGGTTGCTTTATCAGGCTGCAGACCGCGGCGAAACGCTCATCACACGCGAGGAAAATCGCGTTATGTATTTTCCTTATCAAACACAAGCATTACTTTCCTCCAGTTACGAGTATACCGCGAAAATCCTGTAATTTTATCGACCACTAATTAAATTAATATCGTACTTTTTCGTTTTCTAACAATTTTAAATACATCGTATCGCGTTGTTATTTGAAAAGAATAAATGTAATTATTTTTTGAATCATTAAGAATAGAGTGATTTTAATTGAAGAAAAAAATGACGAGGTTTACTCCGAATTGGGTCGAGTAACGTTATTATTCTTTTCAATTAACATCGAATTTGGTTACAATAATAAGGCTCATTTAATGAGACGAATAACATTCACTTCTGACTAATTATTCATTAAGCGCTGTAATCCAATTTTCAACGATTAAAAACATAAATATGGCTCTTTGACCTTTGAACTGTGCAGAAGTAAACGTGAGCCAGAGTTGCGATATGCATAAAGCGGTGCTTCAATTAAAATTACACTCTGAAATTTTTTAATGAATAATTTTGTTATACTGAAACCATGTTCCAATGTCTCGATTATATTTAGAAAATAAGAATACCCTATTTGCATACACACCCTTGTGACAAAATATATCACTCTCAGAGTTCAATCTCCGCTACTTTTTAAATATTCAATGATTTTTATAAAGCAAGCTGGATTTATTTATTAATCCTTTTATTTATCTCCGTAAGACGTAATTGCATTTGGAATAACGTTACGTGGCTCATCCTCCAAAGGTGCAAACAATCAAAGCGAAAGCGAGGATCACTGATTTTTCTCGGCTAAATTTTCACACGGTCCATTCTAGTGGAGGCGTTCTAACAACGTCACGCACTAATAAACCGTAATTCGTTTTTGCTTCCATCACTGAGATTCGTCAACTGCACTGCACACAGTTTGACGTACCTCGATCGT